GGGGGCACCTGGGTGGCTCAGTCAGTTAAGTGTCCGACTTCAGCTCAGTCATGATCTCACGGCTTGTGAGTTTGAGTCCCATGAGGGCTCTGTGCTGACAGCTCGGAGCCTGGAACCTGCTTTGGATTCTGTGTACTTCTCTCGCTCTGCCCCTCCCCTGCTCATGCTGTGTCTCTCTCTCTCAAGAATAAATAAAAAATACTTTAAAAAAATTTTTTTTAAATAAAAAAATACCCTAACACATATACAACATACATAACGTCGTGACATTCATTGGCAAATACTAGTCATATGACCTTGGTGAACCAGAGAGTCCAGGAAGTTCAATTCTGCCAGGTTCTAGAAATTCGAGATGGATACTTTGGGTTTGCATGAATAATTCTCACTGTGGGCAAATGAGAGAGACTAGATGTCAATCAAATGAGTTTTCCGTTCCAAGTCCCTTTATACATCATTCAGGTATCACTGACGTTGGTTTCAGCCCTCTGTTTGGTTGGCTTCAATCTTTTGTGCGGCAAACATGACTAGATGTCCCTTTAATCATGTACCGTAGGAAAGTTTTCACTGGACATATGGCTGCCCAGCTAAAGACTGCATTTCCCAGGCTCCCTTGCAACTAGGTCTTGCCACGTGAATAGGTTCTGGCCAATGGGATGTGTGCAGCATCTGAGTTATGGCCTTTTATAGGCAAAGAGGATGGCCTCCCTTTCAACCTCTCCTTTCCTGGGACTGGAGTAGAGATGCGTCGGGCATTGGCGCGTCCATCTTCCACTGAGAGAGGGAAGCCATGTGTTGCAGATGGTGGAGAGAAGGAGAGAAGAAAAACACGATCATGGAGCAAGGCAGGCCCCGAGATCTGCAGGGCGAGTTGGCAAACTGAAGACCCAGGAGGGCCGATGTTCAGTTCCAGCCCAAGTCCACAGGCCTGAGTACCAGGACAGCTGATGGCATAGGTCTCATCAGAAGGCAAGCAGCTGGAGATGCAGGAAAAAAGCCCATGTCCGAGGTGCAAGGCAGGCAGAAAGAATTCTTTCTCCCTCTGAGGAGGGTCAGCCTTCCTCCGATTGGATGGGCTCGCCTACATTAGGGAGCATGGTTTGCTTTCCTAAGTCACCGATTTAAATTTTTTAAATGTTTTTAGTTATTTTTGAGAGAATGAGAGAGAGAGAGAGAGACAGCATGAGCAGGGGAGGATCAGAGAGAGAGGGAGACACAGAATCTAAAGCAAGCTCCAGGGGCGCCTGGGTGGCTTAGTCGGTTAAGCGTCCAACTTTCGCGTGGGTCATGATCTCGCGGTTTGTGGGTTCGAGCCCCGCGTCGGGCTCTGTGCTGACTGCCAGCTCAGAGCCTGGAGCCTGTTTCAGTCTGTGACTCCCTCTCTCTCTGACCCTCCCCTGCTCATGCTGTCTCTATCTCTCTCCTAGAAATAAATAAAACATTAAAAAAAAAATTTTAAAGCAAGCTGCAGGCTCTGAGCTAGCTGTTAGCACAGAGCCCGACGTGGGGCTCGAACCCAAGAACTGTGAGATCATGACCCGAGCTGAAGCCGGCTGCCTAACCGACTGAACCACCCAGGCACCCCCCAGGTCACCAATTTAAATGTTAATCTCACCCAAAACACCTCCCAGAAACACCCAGAATGTGTTCGACCAGATATCTGGGCCCAGTCAAGTCGACATAGAAAATTAAGCAGGCAGTTCCTGACACCAGAAATTCACTCCCTGTTAATGTCACCAAGGACTGCATGTTCTTGGACTGTTTCTACGCGAGAGGTCAGTAAATTTCATTGTTATGTAAGCAACTCTTACATTAGCCCTTGAGAAAGCAGCTGAACTGGTGTGCCACTTTCCATTTTTCCAGAGATATCTCCTGTCCCCACTTACTTGCCCCATTAAAAGTTGGAGTCTAGAGGAGCCGGGGTTGCTCAGTTGGTTAAGCATCTGACTTTGGCTCGGTCATGCATGATCTCACGGTTCGTGGGTTCGGGCTCCGTGTCGGGCTCTGCGGACAGCTCAGAGCCTGGAACCTGCTTCACATTCTTTGTCTCCCTCTCTCTCTGCTCCTCCCCCTCTCACACACTCTCTCTCTTAAAAATAAAAGAAATAAAAAATAAACTAAATAAAAAGAGGTGGAGTCTGCTTAGTCTCAGCTTAGGTCTTGCTCTCAGGGTCACGAGTTCAAGCCCTGCATTGGACTCTGCGCTGGGTGCGGCGCTTACTTAAAAAACAAAAAAAAAAAACAAAAAAAAACACGGGGAGCTGGAGTCTAGTTCCTCTTCCCTGAAAATGGAGCTCATGACTCACCCCACTTGTAACCCTTGCAACACGGATGCTGCATGACTAGTGAGGCTGGGGGGAAGACAGTACAATTTCTTCCTTGTTCCCAGAAATACTCTTGAAACCTTTGGCCATCATGCCAGTAGTTCAGCTGTCCTGAAGCCACCAAGCCACGAGAAAGCTCAGACGAACCCATACAGAAACTACATAGGAAGCCTTGAGACTCCGCTCAATGAGCAGGTCCCGACCACCTTGGCCTATTCCCGTTCTAGCTCCAGCTGCTGTCTGAAAACAATGAGCAGCCCCAGCTAAGCCCTTCCCAATGCCATTACCCACAGGCCTATGCAAGATAAGATGTTGCTTGTGGCTTTAAGCTGCTAACTCTCTGGGCTGATTTGTTACCCAGCAGTAGCTAACCAGAAGAAATGCGATCAGAATTTTTATGACATGAGAGATGGATTCATTAAATGTCTAAGCAATAGTGGAACCCCCAAATCCCAGCCATTATCCTCCACCCCAGAAAATTTCCTAGGTCAGTCACCAGAGCCCTCTGTCCCTGAATAACTTAGTGCCACAATGTTATTCCTCTCTTCCACTGCCCTTACTTGCTGCACAAAGGGTTCCTCCTTTCCTGGCATGGGGAGGGGCAAAGAGAGAGGGAGAGACAGAATCTGAAGCAGGTTCCAGGTTCCAAGCCGTTGGCACAGAGCCCTATGTGGGGCTCGAACTCATGAACCACGAGATGATGACCTGAGCTGAAGTTGGACGCATAACCAACTGAGCCACCCAGGCACCCTGAACCTGCAGTAACTCTTACCAGTTAACTCTGGAAATCACACTGTCATTTCCACAATATCTTATTGGTCACACTGGTTAGCCCTATTGAGTGTGGGAGGGCCCTACACAGGGGCATGAATTCACCTGAAGACTATAATAATCATTGGGGACCATCTTGGAGGAGGGTTTCACAGTTCCAATGTAGCTTCCTTGTTACTCTAAACAGTTTTGACTTCAGAATGAGCTAAAAAGTTTTCAGGGGCCCCTGGGTGGCTCAGGTAATCATCCAACTCTTGATTTCGGCTCAGGTCATGATCGCAAAGTTGGGGGATCAAGCCCTGTGTGGAGCCCGCTTGAGATTCTCTCCCTCCCCCACTCATGCTCTCAGTCTCTCAAAAAAAAAAAAATCAAATAAATAAAATAAAAAGTTTTCTCCCTCTTGCTCAATGGCCGCACTGTTTAGAGGTCAGCACTAAAAGCCCTTTCTCCTCTTCTTTGTAATTAAGACAAAGGCAGGGCTAATTCATTGGGCTGAAATAACAGGCGCAGATGAAGCGAGCTTCAAAGTTAATAGGAAACACTATTTCCCCCAAGGACATGTCTTCTTACAGAGAAACTTTGTTCCCTAAAATCGTAGTGTTGAACATTTCCATCAGTAAAAATGAAACATCCCACTCTTGCCTGTAGGCGTTTGACACAGAGTAGCAGCCTCAATTTCCAATCCAGGTGCAGAGCCTCACATAATGGATTTAGGGACCACTCCACATCTAGATTCACCTTGTGATCTCCAAGACCTCCAAGACCCCGGTTCCTCGTCACACTCTGTGCCTGGTGTTGCCCTACCCTTCCTGCAAATCCTGTAAGAACTCTACCTTTTCCTTTATTTTATTTTTTTACTGTTTTATTTATTTCTGAGAGAGTGAGAGAGGCAGCGTAAGCAGCAGAGGGTCAGAGAGGGCGGGAGATACAGAATCTAAAGCAGGCTCCAGGCTCTGAGCTGGCTGTCAGCACAGAGCCCGACGCGGGGCTCGAACCCACGAACCGTGAGATCATGACCTGAGCCGAAGTTGGACGCTTAACCGACTGAGCCACCCAGGCGCCCCTGAACTCTACCTTCTCCTTTGTCGAAATGCCCCATGGTTTCTCTCTTCCGTGGTCTCCATCATCGCAAATGGTCAATAAACTTGACTTTGTCAGACTATGTTCCTCTGGTGTTAGGCTGATGTGTAATCTTCTATTGCTATGGCTCCCAGCCACCCTTAGGACAGAGATCCCTTCTCTTATATGCTCCCCCCACTTCATTATCTGACCCCAATCTATTTTCGAATCCGAATTCTCCTGCCCTCTTCCTTTCTTTTTAAAAGGAGATATGATTTCCACGCAGTAAAGTGCTCATTTCATACGTACCGCTCCATGAAGTTTTCAACATATGTATCCCCGACTGATCACCACGTAGATCAAGATACAACACATTTCAGGCACCCCGGGAGCCTGCCTTGGGGCCCCTTCCCTGTTCATACCCTGCCAACCGGCCGCCACAGATTCGTTTTGCCAAGTTTTGAACTTCGTATTCCTTTTATTTTCACAAAAACAACTCAGACTCTAACCGTCTAAAACGTCCTGCCTCAATGAATGGTATTTTGGCCTCCGATGTTCCTTCTGCCCTGGGAAGGGCTTCGGTTGCATCCGAAACTTCTGAAAATACTGCACGAATGAACGAATGAATGAAAGTTACAGCTGCGACTGAATACTGGGCGGGTGGAAACGCGCCACGACCGGTTCTCACCTGGAGGCTCTGATTTGATAGTCACGTGACAGGGGCCCAGGCTCCCCAAGCCGCCGAGGCAGGTGCCGTCACGTGACCCGACAGCCCTGCGGGGCGATCGCCGGCGGGCAGCCATTTTGCGGGGCGGTCACGTGAGAGGACGCACGTTCAGCGGGGCGCTCACGTGACCAGGGGCGTGCTGCGGCCGCCCGGGCGGACCCGGCGAGAGGCGGCGGCGGGAGCGGCGGTGATGGACGGGTCCGGGGAGCAACCCAGAGGCGGGGGTGAGGCGGGAGGCAGACGGGCGGGAGGAGGGCGAGCCCCCTCGCCGGCCAGCCCCACGATATCCTCCTGCCGGTCTCGGGGCCGTGCGATCTCGAAGCACTCCGGGGCAGAAACTCCCGGATCGGGCGCTGCCAGCTTCCAGCCCCCTCCCTCCCCGGGGGTCCCCGGCTCTCTGGCCTCGGCTCTCCGATCCCTTCCTGTCTGGTGCTCTCGGACCCCCGAGAAGCTGGAGACCCCAGAACCCAAGCCCCGGGGCAGGCCCGGGCTTGTCGCCGGCACCACTTCCTGGTGGGAGGGGCGGGTCTCTCCTCTGCCCCCTCAGGCCAGGGGTCGGGATGCTCAAAGCGTTCCCTCAGCCTCCTCCCCCGGAAGAACGCAGGATACAGGCCGAGGCTCCCGGCCTTTTTCTCCATCAGGGACTCAGATGTCCGGGCCCCTAGGCACTATATCTACCAGGGACACCGAAATGCAGGACCCCTTAAGGCTGCCCTCCCTCAGAGATCATGAGCCGCCCCAGTTCCCTGGATCCCCTAGGACCCAAGAGTCCAGGCACCTCTTCCCTCCTTTCTCCTCTAGGGCCCACCAGCTCTGAGCAGATCATGAAGACAGGGGCCCTTTTGCTTCAGGGGTGAGTTTGAGGTGTGATTATTGCCGAGCGGATTGGAGGAGTGATGCCCCATTCTGATTCTGCACCCCCCCCCACTCCCTTCCCACTCTAGTTTCATCCAAGATCGCGCAGGGCGAATGGGGGGAGAGACACCCGAGCTGGCCCTGGAGCAGGCGCCCCAGGACGCGTCCACCAAGAAGCTGAGCGAGTGTCTCAAGCGCATCGGAGATGAACTGGACAGTAACATGGAGCTGCAGAGGTGCGGCCCCTGGGCCCCAGGAATCCAGCCACTGGTCCCCTTCTCCCTCACATCCCCGGAGGCCCCTCTTCCCCTGGGCCTGGAGTTCAGATCCACAGTCTGCTGCTCCCTCGGACCCACGCGTCCGGGGCCCACCTCTCTACTCAGCTCCCTGGCCGAGAAGCCCTTCGTCCTCCAGGATACTGGAACCTTCCCTCAGGGAGTCGTTTTCACCACCTTCCTAATTGTCCGTCTTGCCCCTTTCCCTCAGGGCGGCCCCTTCTTTTCCGTGACAGCCTAACACGCCTCCTTTTCCTCGTCTGGTGTGAGGCGGACGCCAGAGTCTCCACCATGCTCTGCCTGGCCTTCCCTCGGCAGCGCTGCCTTCTCTTTCCTGCAGGATGATCGCAGCCGTGGACACAGACTCCCCCCGCGAGGTCTTTTTCCGAGTGGCAGCGGAGATGTTTTCTGATGGCAACTTCAACTGGGGCCGGGTGGTTGCCCTTTTCTACTTTGCCAGCAAACTGGTGCTCAAGGTGGGCGGCCGCCGGGCAGTGAACCCCGAGGGATGCTCCGCTCAGACCTAGAAGGACCTGGGAGTCGTGAGGTCACCCCCTGTGGCAGCCCGCTAAGCGCAAAGGGAACAGAGAGGGCAACGGGCTGGTTTGGGGGCCCCTTCAGTTACTCCTGCGGCCAACATTTTTTAGGCCCGCTGTGTGCCCGACCCGAGACGCGGCACCCAACAAATCGGCTAGGTCCCTGCTCTGGTGGAGCCCACGGTATCTGAGGAGTGCTGAGAAAAGCAGACTAGGATGATGTCATTGTGCAAAGTGGGGGGGAAAGACTTCTAAGAGGGGATGACCTCAAAGGCAAAGTTGCAGCGATCTATGAAGATCGGGGAAGAGGCACCTGGTAGCGGCCACAGCAAGTGCAAAGGCCCTGAGGCAGGCCCAAGGCTGATGCGTTGAGCGCAGTGGGGGGGGGCGGGCAATGGGTGGGAAATGAGAGGAGATCGCAAGGGGTCCGCCGGGGCCCTGCGAGGATGTTAGCTTTGCTCCGAGTGAGATGCGAGTGACTGGCTGGTTCGAAACAGGAGCGTGGGGCCACCTGATTGATAAATCTAAAGGAATATTCTAGCAAGCAAAATGTTAATTGTACAACCTAGGCTGCAGGCGTATGGCTATGCACCGTAAAATTCTTTTAACCTTTCTATCATAAGTTTGTCATGGTAAGACGTGGGGGGAGCAGAAGCCCAACAGTTTTCTTCTGGCCACTGTGGGTAGAAGAGAAAGATTATGGAGCAGAACCTGGGGAGTTGGGAAGGAGGCCCCTCTAACAGTCCTGCTGCTGACCAGATGCTGGTGGTAGCTGTGGAAGCAGGGGTGGGGCAGATTTCTTAATGTGTTTGCCAGATTGAACTGATGGGGCTTGAATGTTGGAGGTGAGGAGGACAGCAGGGAAGAAGCAGCCGGACAGAGGGTGGGAAGGGGAAGTTCAGGTCTTTGGAGAGTCACGGGCAGGGGGGTATGGCTGGTCCTGCCTAGTGTGAAGGTCAGAAAACCCCTCTCTGGAGAATGACGTCAGACCTGACATCAGAGCTTTGAGGGAGGAGTAAAAATTTGCTTGGTTGAAGCCTGTTTAGGTAGAAGAATCAGCATGTGCAAAGGTCCTGAGGCAGGGAAGAGTTGGTGGGAATGAAGATGTGGAAGAAGGTAAATGAGACACAGAAAAGAAGTGGAAAATTGGAATGCGATCAAGTCAGAGCCTTCATACAGGGCCTTATGGGCTGAGCTATGCCTTTTGGTCTTTACCACCTGGGGAGCCATGGAAGGTATGTGAGCAGGGCAGTTGACAGTAAAAAGATCCAGTTAATTTATGAAGCTCGTTCTGATTATGAACGGAAAAGAGGCTGCAGTGGGGCAGGAGGGGAGGCAGAGGTGAGAAAGGCATCGGGCCACTGTCCCCAGACAGTGGGGGCAAGGCTCAATCCCTAAGGCCTATTCCGCTCCCTGCAGGCCCTGTGTACCAAGGTGCCCGAGCTGATCAGGACCATCATGGGCTGGACCCTGGACTTCCTTCGAGAGCGGCTGCTGGGCTGGATCCAGGACCAGGGTGGTTGGGTGAGGCCCCTCACCCCCCTCCCCTGCTGCTGAGACCCCCGAGTCCTCCTGAGCCCAACACAGTGTTGCCTCCCTGACTCTGGATCATCAGATGGGGTCTATAATGCATTTCCTCACATGTCTGATCAACTCCTGGTAGTCGTCTGGTTCCCACTGACCTCTTGGTGACCTCTGACCTCTTGGTGACCTCTGACCTCTCAGTGACCCCTGACCTAAGTAGTATCTGCTATTCTCCCCCCTCCCTGTGCCTCCACTTTCCCTGGAATCCGTCAGGATTTTTGAAAACCCTCCAACCCCAGCTCTTTCAGTATCCATTAATCTTAGGCCCTTGCCCCCACTCGTGCCCTTTGACCTCTCGCTGGCCCCTCTTCCTTCCTGATTCCTCATGTGCTGGCTCAGGGGGTCCCCCTTGGCCCAGCTCCTGAAGTGACTGGTGTGTCTGTCTACAGGACGGCCTCCTCTCCTACTTTGGGACACCCACGTGGCAGACAGTGACCATCTTTGTGGCCGGAGTGCTGACCGCGTCGCTCACCATCTGGAAAAAGATGGGCTGAGGCCACCAGCTGCCTTGGACTGTGTCTTTTCTGCATAAATTATGGCATTTTTCCGGGAGGGGTGGGGATTGGGGACCCTGGGCATTTTTCTTACTTTTGTAATTATTGGGGGGGGTGGAGGGGAGTGGTCCGGGGGGGGTCAATAAACCTCTTTCGGGCCACACTTCGGAGTCTGAGTCACTGAGCCCCCTCCCTGGCTGCCATGGAGACCAGGCTTCCTGTGCTGACAAATCTTTTGAAGGAGCCCAGCGCCCTCTGGGTTGGTGAAGTTAGGTCTCCACTCTGCCCTCCAAGAGCCCGTGGTTGTGAGGGGACCGAAGAGCACTTGTGTTGAAGCCTATAGCAGTGGCGCGTCCCAGGCCCCAGGCTGCAAGGGGCGAGACGTCAGGCAGGCAGCGGAGCCCGGGCTGTAGGGCAGGGCAGCAGGCTCTGAGGAACAATGCCTCGGAAGTTTCCACCATATGGGAGCAGAGGAAGTTGTCCACTTACCGAGGTGGAGAATGGGGGGGCAGGGCGGCAGGACTCGGGGCTCTAGAGCGTGTGGGGAAGCTACTGGAGGTCAGAAGGCTGGGACCAGAAGGGCCAAGGGACAGGTCAAGGCCTGGACTTGTGCTATGTGGCCCGAGAGGAGGGGACAGGGCTGGATGGCGGGGGAGGGGGGCTAGTAACACTGGGTGGGGCCTCCCAGAGAACGGGCCCCAGGGCCCCAGTAAAGATCGTGCTGACTGGACACAGAAGAGGAAATCCGAGCCTGAAATCACTTATTACAGGGTCTTTCTGTCTCTTGTCTTCCCCCGTCCCCTCTCTACCCCTCACCCCTAAAATCTGGGTCCTTCAAATCATCCCCCTTCATCTTCCTCTACCTGTGGGCATTTCCAAAGCCGGCCCTCTCTGCAAGCGCGACCTGGCGACCTGGCGGAGGCCAAAGGTCTTGAGGCTGAGGTATGAAATTTGGTGAATGAGTAACTCAGGCCCCATTGTGACTGTGTGCCTGGGGCAACCGCCCCTCCCCCAGAGACACCAAGTCTGGGGAGAGCTGTCAGCTAGATGAGATAGCAGTGAAGGGAGACTGAGTCACCGCCCAGAGAGAGGGGACAACATGGCCGCAGGCGGGAGGAGCCCAGGGAAAACGGCAAAGGAACTGAAGAGACAGTAAGCTGCGGAGACAAAGCACTCTCGAGGTGGCACCCTGGGGGTGGGGGTGGGGGGCAGGCTTGGATCCCCGCCAGGTACAGTTCCCGGGGTCCCAGCCAGTCAGCAGTCTGGCGGGACATGAGGTCAGTCGTGGCCCCACCCCGTCCCCCCGCCTGAGACCCTTACCGCTGAGCTCAGCATGACTCAGCACGGCTGCTCTCCGGGTCACTGGCCCACGGGCACCTCGAAGACCCCAGATACCAGCCTCCTCCAGTGTCCCCTGAGTTGGAGTCAGGGGACACCTTGCCTGGGCTGCTTGGAGTGCCCCCCACCCGCCGCCCCCTGCAAAGCGGGCCTCAGTGGCTTTAGCTCCCCGGCTCAGCCCGCTGGCTACCTCCATGAGGGCACTGAAATAGGTTCAAGTTCCTGTCTTTGTCTCCTTAACCCCCCCCCCCCCCCCGCATCGACCCCGATGGGTAGCTCCTTGAGGGCAGATTCCTGGTTTGAGCAAGCTCTGCCTCCGGACGCCAGCCTGGAACGGACACACTTAAAAAATGCACATCCCATCCACAGGCCCTCAGACGCTCCTTGTTTCCCCAGGACCCAGGGCTTCTCTTTGTGACTCTGAAGAAGCATGGGTTAGGCGAGATGGGGACAATGGAACAGACACTGCTTCAGAGCCAAAGAGAATTCCAAGTCTCTGGCCACCCTCAGAAGAGTCCCCAGGAAATGCAGCCTCACAGAGACCCCAAAGCTTGAGTGTCATTCCCCCAAGATACTCCAAGTGGCCCAATCTTTCAAAGGGTCCAAAGGGCTCTCCAAGCCCCCCTACCTCTTAGAAAAGCCCCTACTAGGCTTCCAGAAGCACCCCTCTCCCGTGTTATGGGAGGGACGAAGGGGGGAGGACCCCAAGAGCAACTGTCCTTTTAATCTTGCAGATCACTTCATGAGCCTAAAGACCCCCAACCCTCCTGAGGGAAGATTCCAGAAAGTATAGACTTCCATTGTCAGCTCTAGGGCTGCAGAAATTGCCAATCTTTGAGTGAACCCCAGGGCCCCGGGGCCCTCTATCAACCCAGCTATCAGAGGGATACCCCAAGATTCCAGAAATATCTCACCGCACAGCCTTCCAAACTTCTTAATGATCCAGGGACCCCTTATCTTCCAGAGCAAACCCCAGTCATCTGGAGATATCCGCACCTCTGAGGAACCTCCAGGGCGCCAGAAAGATCCATGCTCTTAAGACACAACCCCAGAATCCAACCTAAATTTCCTGAGACAGTCCCAAGGCCCCAGAATCATAATTTTCCAGGGCTCCCAGTGTCCTCATTAATCTTACATCTACCAGAGAGACTCCCCCCCCCTCCCCCCAAGAATCCCTTGACTGTCCAGAATCAGCCCCAGGACCCTTGCACCCGTAACCTCCCCACCCCCATTTCCCCATTTCACAACAGCCTCGCGCACTGGCGCGTGACTTCCCCACCTCTGGGCGGGCGTCTGGGACTCCTATCAACTCGGATTGGTCAAGTGCGGGCTCCAGGCCCCGCCTCCCAACACCGCAGATTGGCCGATCGCGCCCCCTGAACGCCCCACCTCCGAGGGCCCGCGCGCTATAAAAGAAGCCGCCTCGGCCACGGCCTTTCTCAGTGCGCTCGGCGGTCCTGCGGATCTGTCTCTTGCTTCAACAGTGTTTGGACGGAACAGACCCAGGGACGCCCCTACTACCAGCATCCGACCACCCTCCAACCTTTTTTCCAGTCGCAACCTTCGGAGCCATCGTCTTGCCCACCCTCCGCCTTCGGGACCAGCCAACACCCGATTTTCAACTTAACTCATTACCGATCAACCATGACCTCCCAGATTCGTCAGAATTATTCCACCGAGGTGGAGGCCGCCGTCAACCGTCTGGTCAACGTGCATCTGCGGGCCTCCTACACCTACCTCTCTCTGGTGAGGGTCCCCGGGACGCCCCCAGCCCAAGTTTCCCCCAAGTGCGTACCTCTGGCCCTCTGCGCACGCGCTGGCTTTCTTTGTCCCGTTGGGTAGTCGGGGGGCGGAGTCGAGCGCCTGGCCAGCCTTTCTTCCCTCTAACCCGTGTTCGCGCCATCTCTTCCCGCAGGGCTTCTATTTCGACCGTGACGATGTGGCTCTGGAGGGCGTGGGCCACTTCTTCCGCGAGTTGGCTGAGGAGAAGCGGGAGGGCGCTGAGCGTCTCCTGAAGATGCAAAACCAGCGTGGCGGCCGCGCCCTCTTCCAGGACGTGCAGGTAAATAGCGTGCGGGCCGCGGACTACATATCCCAGCAGCCCGTGCGTGCGCGTAGCGGGTTAGGCACCGCGTGGGCTTCTGGGTGATAGCGTTCTTGTTTGTTTGGCTCAAAATGGAGGCGCCCCATGTTTGCCCAAAGACGTAGGTGTCCACACCGCAATGTGGTTTCTTCGCATGGGGAGTTGTAAGAGACTGGGGGTGATAGAGGCGGATCTTAGACGGCTTTGCCACGTATGTACTAGTCCTGAGCCCTCCGTCGTCTGTACAGAAGCCGTCCCAAGATGAGTGGGGTAAAACTCTGGACGCCATGGAAGCCGCCCTGCTTCTGGAGAAGAACTTGAACAAGGACCTTTTGGATCTGCATGCCTTGGGTTCTGCCCGCGGAGACCCCCATGTGAGTACCCCATCCACCCCATCCACATGTAATTGGAGGCAGTTTTCCTTTTGGGCCTCGTTTGCCCACCGATCGCACCGTTAATGTGGAAATGCAATATTCTCTCCTCTCCTGCTCCTCAGCTCTGTGACTTCTTGGAGAATCACTTTCTAGATGAGGAGGTGAAACTCCTCAAGAAGATGGGCGACCACCTGACTAATCTCCGCAGGCTCTCCGGCCCCCAGGCTGGGCTGGGCGAGTATCTCTTCGAGAGGCTCACCCTCAAGCACGACTAGAAGCCTCTGGAGCCCCTGGAGCCCGGCAGCCTCTGAGAGGGTCCCTCTGGCATCCCCCCCCCCGGTGCCAGGGCTTGTGCCTAAGTTTCTCCTTGCAGCCACGAGGCAGCTTTTTCACCCTGGAGCCCTCTCCCAAGCCGTGGACCAAATGAAACCAATAAAGCTTTTTGCAGCAACTGGTGCTTTTGGGTGTGTGTCGTGTGTGATGGTGTGGGAAGTGAAGTGGTACCGATGTTCACGAGGCTCCTAGCTGGACTGCCCCGGCAGAGAGAGGTCTTGGCCCCTGGCCCCACATCGTTGCTGTTCTGGAAGGCCAGGTCTTCCCCAGGTGGTGGGGCTCAGCCCAGAAATGGGATGTGAAACTTGGGGCTGGAAGAACCTTGAGGCTTAGCAGGCAGCAACTGGGTCCAGGCTACAGAACTATGAACTTTGACACCTCCCCCCCCCTCCCCGTCCCTTCTGCTTCTGGTAGAATCTGAAGAGGAAATGACTCCTGGACACCTGTTCTGACCTGTTACTTCTCTCCACACGTTGGTGGCCGCTCATGGTTCTGGCACGGGTGGGGGGGTTCCGCGTGGGTCACAAACACCTGGCTAACGGGAAGGATGGTCACCTGCATATCCAGTTTTCTATTCCCTGAAATGGGATTGGCTTGGAGATGCACTGTAGAGAAGACGAGAAGTGAAAACAGATTTTTCTCAAGAATAGAGCCCTTCAGGGGGGCAGTAGGGCTAAAATCCAGAGGCCCGTGCCCTAGGGATACATTCTAAGCTAGTTCTGTTCAATAGAACTTTTTTGCAATGGTGGAAATATTCCATCTGCACTGCCTAATGGGGCAGCCACAGCGCTACTGAGGAGTTTGGTTCACTTAAATCTAAATAGTCACAAAAGGCTTTGAGGCTACCCCTTGGGTCTCTCCCCGTGCCCCAGCGACAGTT